TTATTTCGCGCGCGTACCGGCATTGAAAATCACCGGTCGCTTCAAGCGTTATTTCTAAGAGAACGGTTTATTTTACAAAAAAAGTGCTATTAAACATTTTTATTCAAAATTATCTCAGCTACATGCTTTATTTGAAAAAAAATTTTCTACGGCGTACAGATTCTTGGTAAATCGATTCGGCTCGATAAATCGAAAATTCAGCTTGTTCGTATAATTTTTAGCGATTCAGTGGCATTTTCGTATCTGACGACTTGAGTATATACGTATGATAATTCCCTACTTTAATATTTGTATGCGCGATAAGCATAATTTATACTTAGATTTTAATTTTTTTTGTTGGATGGATAACAAATGACCTTGACCACAAAGTTTCAATACGAGATTATATTGAATATGCCAGATCCGAAGATTAAAGCACCTTCTTACAAACGCAACCTTATCTGGAATTTTATACTAGAATATTTTATTTTTTATTTTTAGATTTCTGAAGCATATTTTTTAATAAGGAGAAAAATATAAGTTTCAACGACTCAACATATAACGGGAAGTTAAAGATATAAGGTACCTACCAAGGTAAATGAAAATGTTCGTGGTTATAGGATTAAAGAGTCTGGTCAGATATGGACACCTATAACTCGCACTGCACTCGTTATTAAAAACAGGTAAAGCAAAGAGCACTTTGCCGAAATTTTCGCTAACCCTTAGTAATGGAGAACGCATCTTAAGAAACACATACTTTTTTCGTTACTTAAACCTCTATCAACTGTCGAATTCTTTTATACCCTCTGCTGATTGGTAACCGCGGAAGCCATGTTCTGTGTATACATGGTAGTTTGGTAGGTTAACATATTTACTTTGGCAAATATGTAGTAATACTATTTACTTCCTAAATTTGGTAAAACTCCTTAATTATATGATAAGAATGCAACTCAGAATAATAGAAGACTCGTGGCGGCACATTGTCCTTTGTAGGCATTTAAATAACTTACTCTTCGATAATCGATAAATAATCAATAGAATTGAATTTTCATGCGTGTTGTTTGTGATAGTGAAAATTAAAGTATTGCTTGCCCTTAAATCGATTATAATAACTATTAAAAGAGAATTGATATAAGGTTGAATGCTCGAATAAATGAACTTTGATTAAATAAAACTCGGAAATCGAGCACAGTTTTATTAATTAAATCTTGCCCAAGTACTTTTGCTTTCTAGAGGATCTCCAGGGGCATCTGAAATAAGCCAAAAAACGTTTTTTTTTAACCGAAGAAATTAATTAACTTCGATAAAAACTCGAAGTTGATGGTTGATAAAAGTTTTTATGTGATTAACGTTTTAGACTTACTTCGTCAATTGTAGCCTATCCAACAAAAATAAAATGTTATAAACATAAAATTGTACTTCACACTACACTACTTAAGGACAAACACTTTAAAATTTAAAAAATAGGCCAAGCTACATTATGTTCGGAAACCGGAGACAGAATGGCTCCCGGTCTTAACGGAAATGTTGAGTTGACATGAGACATATGACAGCTAGGATTCTTCTTCTTCATTATAGCAATCTTACTTTATTCACTGTCTTGGTATGGTGTTGATACACTGCTTGTATCAACACCATACCAATCTCGCAAGTTCTTCAACCCTTCGTCCTGGACTGTGTTTGCCTGCTATTTTTCCTTGCATGATATTTTGTAGCAACCTATATTTGAAACCTCTCATTACATGTCCGAAATATTCCAGCTTTCTCTGCTTGATACTTTTTATGATCTCAGTAGTCTTGCTGAGACGTTCTAGTATTGTGGCAGTATAGTAGGCGGATCCTCAATGCCAATTTTAGGTCTCTGTTACATAACACCTTGGATATCCTTCTAAAAGCAGCTCTAGCCTACTCTATCCTATCCTGTCCAAGATAAATAATTTTATCAACTTGCTCAAGTTTGGTATTATTTACATATATAGGCTATTCCACGAATATACGACTGTTTTGATTTACTGCGACAACGAATATTTTACTGTGCAAGTAGAAGTATGAAGGTCAATTGGTCTAATCATTATTCCAATAAAAAGGGTCTACTAGTATGACATCTAAACTAAAATTATTTCAGTTAAAATCTACAAAATACAATGACGTCTATGAAGCCAAATGTGTTCATCAGACATTTGGGTAAGCTTTCCGTGAAATGTAAACACCAAAGAGGCGTGCCGGGTTTCTTTAATATAACACATTTTATTATTTTATTTGGTATTACAACTGTAATAAAAAGAAATATACTATTTTTAATATAAATGAAAAGAAATTGGCAGAACGATGGTTCACAAACCAGAAAAAGGATCTAGTATTTCACTTTGTTAGTTTTAAATATTTGTTTGCTTTGAGTTTATGTACTCTTAAAAGTTCTGAAAGTAACGGGTATAACATACCGGCTATTGATAGTTAAAGTACCGAGTCGTTACAGATATTAAAAAGTAACGAAAATTTATATACAGTTTCATATATCGCCGACTGATTATGGCTTTGAATCTGATCGTTGATGATAGTTTTAGAAGATTAAGAGAATAAGTTAATAAGTAAGTTTTTTTGTTTTTTAATATTAATTAAACATTCGACTAAAAAAATTACACTATTTGATCACTTAATTATTGTTACATTTCGTTTAAATCACATAATTCAAAAACCAACTTGTTTACAATTAAATGAAAAAATAAACTCCATGATAGTAATTATATACTTCAAAAGCTGAATTACAACTGTTTTATAAACTATTAACTTTATATTTATATCATGACTTCATATTTAAATCTAAGGTTTATATCTGCCGTAACAGTATTTTAAAAATGGGGAGAATTTACTATTGTACAATTCAGTACATTAGACCATTTAAATCGACAGCTTAAAGCGAATTTAAAACAGTCGTATATTCGTGGAATGAAGTATACAGACGGTTTTATATGCTGTTGTTTACTTATTACGAGTATTTTGGTTTTCCGTATGTTAAGATCCAGACCTACCTCCCTACAACTCTCAACGACACTATCAAGTAGTGTTTGCAGATCTTCTTGACTAGAAGCTAGGAGTACTGTATCGTCCGCATATCGCAAATTATTGATACCGTTCACAAATACTCCTTATTGTTTTTCAGATAGTGCTTTTCTGAAAATTCTTTTGGAGTAAACGTTAAAAAGCAGGGGTGACAAGAGGCATCCCTGTCGCACTCCTCTTTTAATATTGAGAGCCTGTGATTCCACACCATCTACCAAAACTGATGTTGTTTGATTCCAATATAAATTTGCAATTATTCGAACATCTCTGCCGTCCAAGCCAATATCTTTTAGAGCTTCGATCAATATAGAGTGCTTAACACGATCAAATGCCTTTTGAAAGTCAATAAAACAACAGTATATGTCTACAGATATATCACGACATCTTTGAGCAAGTACGTTCATTCCAAACAGTGCCTCTCTCGTTCCAAACCCGTTACGGAAACCACACTGAGTGTTATCCAGGTATTCCTCGCATTTATTGTAGATTCGACCATGTATTACCTTCAGATAAATTTTCAATAAGGGGTTTAGACCAAGTGGTAGGAATTAGACCAACCATTAGGTAGTTGTCCGCTGGTATAAATGGTATTGAAAAACGAAGTTGTAGCCTCTAAAACATTGCTGTCATTTATAAGCTTATATATTTCAGTTATAATTTCATCAGGACCAGTCGTTCTGCTATCTTTTGATGATTGTATGGCTTTTATAATCTTAGAGCGTGTTATTAGGGGTCTGTCGCAGTTAGTAATATCGTGGAGTGAACTACTCCAATCACTTTTTTGTACATGTTAAACCTGTCGTATCTGTTGTAAAGTGTTTCGTTGTTTTTCGCTAGTCGCCGTTGTTCCATCAAATCCAATATGTCATCTGTCATCCAAGCCAAGTTTTTTAGCTTTGACCTGCCTTGTAAATTTCTCACACAGATTTCTTTTACTGTTGTTACGATTTTATTTAAGCCCTCATCGACGTTTTCACCAATATTTTCCCAAATTAAATTTTCGTTCAGTTATCTTTGAACTGATTCCTTAACTTTCTCGTCTTGTAATTGGGCTGTATCAATATTTTTGCGAGACTTCTTTTTGGTCACCTTTTTTAATTTTAATTGGGTTACAGCTACTATGGGATGGTGATCGTATCCAACGTCAGGATGGGTAGTCACAATCATAGATATGTGATCTGCACATTTCAAAATTCTATGAAACTAAGCATTGACCAAAGGTCCAACTGACTCTACTATAAGTCGACGTAAAGTATGAATGCAAGAAATAGAGTAAACAATATGTTGGACAGTGGGTGGTTGACTACAATAAAAGGGTCTACCGAACACTATTAATACTGTAGAAAAGAAGAAATCTGACTATGTAATTAAAATACTAAAAATTTAAAATTAAAATTGAAAGAAAAGTATATAAATGGGGTACAATCCAAGTAGTTCAGTTGAACTCACAGTCAATAGGAGGACTATAATATAATATTCGAGTTTTTATCTAAGTTAGTTAATTTCTTCAGTTGAAAAAAACGTATCTTGGCTTATTTCAGATGCCCCTGAAGATGCTCTAGGAAGCGAAAGCACTTTGGCAAGATTTAATTAATAAAACCTTGCTCAATATCTGCGTTTTATTTTATCAAAGGTTATTAAAAGAGATTCTCGTCCCCTAGTCACTTCTATTGATTTGTCGCGCTTACATGTATCGATAATTTCAATATTTAGGGCAACGTATGATTTATAACAATTCGATATCAGAGAAGGATTGGGAACAATGAAAGCTTTGCTCTCAATGCTAACACTACTACAATGATCATAGGTAGTACAGAAACCAATTTACGTCTGTTTTATAGATTTTGAGAAGGCGTTTGATAGGGTTCAACATTAGGATGGCCCACATTATAATGTTAATTTTTCAAAGTTATATTAGACACCTGGGCACCCTCTAACTTTTTTACTTATAATATTAATAGTATTTATGCAAAATTTCAAGATGATATTCCATTTGAAACGGAGTGCTCAAAGACATTTTATGTTGGGCATAATTTTAGAAAATCGGAATATTTGAGGGAAATAAAAATCAAGAAAAAACAGCTCAAAGTAAGTAAACTAAATGTATTTTATTTACAGTATAAAGGTACAATAAAACAATGCAATGATATTCATGAAAAGAATTTGCTGTGGGCGATCAATCCTTGATATTTTCAAACTATAGACGATCGCTTGTTTTGTAGTCTTTGTAGGCACCATCTTTCTGTTAGCTTCTATGACCTGGAGAAGCACCTGCTTTTCATCTTCATCATTTGTTAACAGCTTGTTAAACTCTTCAAACAGCTTTACTCCTCTTTCAGCCAAGTCATTAACAACTTTCAGATTTCTGATGTTGTTTTTACCTTTGATATACTCTTGGTCATCGGTCCATTTATCTGGGTTTTTGGTGAAAAAATTAATATTGATTTCCAATTTCTCAAATAACTGCAGTGATCTTTTTGAAACAAAATTAGCCAAACGCGCTTTCTCAGTTAGGAGTGCTGAATTGCCTCTCACTTTCCGTTCAGCAGGCTCACATTTCATTTTGTCAACGATTTCCACCTTATCATCAACAGATACTTTTTTGAGAACAGACTCAAACCAACCAACTCATCCGAAAGATACCAAAGATGAGATTTGAAAGCCTTTTTGACAATTTCAGTTACTTCAGGATCAATATCATGGTACTTTGTCATATCATTCCACAGTGAGAGATCTGACCATGGAGCATTTGAAGCTAAAGGAGCTTCTACCCAGTACTTGACGTAGACAAGAACTCCAAATTTCACAAAGCGTTCAAGCTGAGCTTTCTCCCTTTGCGTTGTCACGAAACCACTGTCATCACGAAACAAATAGATTTTGATGCCATATAACAACTTAGCCATCCAACGGGCGTGGTGTACCGCACCAGGAGCTCTCCAATGAATTTTGGCTGAAGTGTGGCCTAAAGCAATTAAAGCCAGCTCAATCAACTCCATATAGTCATCCCGAGGCTGACTTTTGTCTTTTAAGGCAACTTGGAGAACATCAACTGCAGATTGTTTGAAATCTTCACTGCCAGGAATGTTTCCCAAAGACTGATAACTATCTTGTCTGATATATTGCCATTCTGCTTTGAATCTTTTGAATATAGGTATATCAGGTGAACTGGAGGGACCAAAACAGAAAGCAAATACTTTACTGAGTACAATCTCTAAAACATGGTGTCTGCATTCTAGCCATAACAATTCTCCTTCAACTAGGGGTTCAAGTAGAACACAAGCTCCATTTTTCAACCCTGTGTTTACAGATGTTGTGTCAAAACACATACCCACTACCTTTTTGCCCAAACGCCATTCAGTAAGCTTTTTGTAAACAGCATCAGCTGAATTTTCACCAGTACCACCAACTAATTTTGGTACACCAAGCAATTTATCTGTATTGTCAGCAGGACAAGATACTATGACAGGCAAACGGTCTACCTTGTCACTTCCCAAAATATCAGGAAGAATTTTTCCATCCCAGTATATAATGACGGGATTATCAAAAGAGGTAGATTCTTTAATAGTTTGAAATATAGTTTTTCGTGCTTCCTTCCTTTCTTGTTGAATAGTGCTTCTTGAGAGCGGCAATTCACTGGGATCATGACCGAGAGCTGCTGCGATAGGAGCCATTAATCTTAAAGCTTCCCTATCAGAAACTTTGTTGCGATCCAATGCACTAACAACATGTGTGGAAAACAAACTTCTCTTTGCGATTGGTGGAGATGACAAGTCTGTGTGTGAATCTCTTTTGTTTCTTTGGGATGCCGAAGATGATGATGATGGTTTATACAGCTCTTCTTCTGATGAGCTGTGTTTTACTGGAGTACACTCATCTGATGAATCATCCTCTGAACTTTGGCAGGAAGCAGTCGGAGTCACCAGAGGCGAAGCGGTTCCCTCTTGAGCTTTTTGAAGTCTTTTTTGTTCTTTTAACTTTCTTTCAAGGATTCTCTCCTGTTTTTTTATATTCCTTGTCTTCTGATGTTATGATCATTCTTCTGTCAGTTCTTTGATCTATTAGAAACTGTCTGTTCTCATCTACTTTACACATAACCAGGGCTTCACTGTGAGCAATATCAAAAAGCTGATTGAGCTGCTCTACAAACAGATTTTGTCTTTTGTTCTGGGCATCGGAGTTTCTTCCTTTATTTTTCTTTAGCATAAGCCATTCATTGTGTATTTTCTCAACTTTTTCAATACAATGTTTTTTTAATCTGGTAGGAATCGCAGCCTTTTGCCATACTGACATCACTTCTTCCAAGGTTAAGTGGCTAGCATTCCTTATGGATTTTTTCTCGTTTAGGAAAAAATGAAATCTGAGAAGAACTTGCCTTACAGAAGGTAGTTGGTTCAACTGAGATATGGGTTCTAATTCTCCTATTCCAATTAAAAAAATATTGTCTGCTTTACGCGTTGAGCACATGCACAAATCACAGTTCCTTCTTCTGTTCACTTTTTGCACTTGACTCGTATTTTCTACTAGTAATAAAATAGTCTTTTAAGACAAATATTATCAGTTTATATATATATATATATATATATATATATATATATATATATATATATATATATAATATAATATATATATATATATATACATATATATATATATATATATATATATATATATATATATATATATATATATATATATATATATGGATTTTTGTTTTATTTTCTGTCTGCGATAAACCCGAAATTCGAGAGTTGCAACGGGAAATAATTCAATACGTTGTAGTGAGAATTGAGATAACTGAATAAGGTAACAACTGTGCAAAAATAAACACCGAAAACTGCAAAAAAAACAATAACAAAGTGAATAATCGGATAAGGGAAAAAAGCGAGGTTAACTGATAAGAACTAACACTGGGAAGGAAGCTACGTTTAATTGAATTGCGACGTTGCCAATGTGTGCAAAGTTTCGTGTTTGCCACGGAATACAAAATTAGTCGAGACTTCGAATAGGGGATTCAACAGGAAGTGGTAGATACTGTTTCTTCTGAGCTGTTGAAGCGAGAGATAGTGTCTGGCGCCAATCAGAGTTGAAAGTAATCCGCGAAGTGAAAAAAAAAAAAAAAAGGAAAAGCATACAAGGATGGAAAAATATCTACAAGGTAAAACGTATATGGACAGTGACGATACAACAACAGATGAAGGAGCAAAAAGAAAGAATAGAGGAGAGGATGATGAGCAAGAGGAAGAGAGATCCAGAAAAAATAAAAAACTAACAAGAACCCCTCAGAAGACAGGAGGAAAAGAGGATGGAGCAAAACTTGATAAATTGCTAGAAATGATGAGCAACCTAACCAGCGACATTAGACAAATAAAAGAAGACCAAAAGGAATACAAGGAGGTAGTTGAACATCTAATAAGGGAAAACAAGGAACTAAAGAATGATAATAAAATTCTAAAAGAGGAAAACATACAGATTAAGAAAGAATTAAGGGAAATACGAGACAACATAGAAATTATAGAAAAACAGAGAAGGCGAAATAATGTGGTAATGAACGGGCTAGAAATTGATACGCAGGATCAGCTGGTATTGAAGAAAGCAATTGGCAATTTTATAAAAGATCACCTTGCAGTAGAGGCCAAAATAAAGACGGCCCACAAACTAGGTCCAAAAACGTGCCTTATTGAAATGGAGAACCAACAAGAAAAGATAAAAGTTATGAAGAATAAAGCAAAGTTAAAGGACGTCAAAAAGGAAAAGGTATACATCAACGATGACACAACGGTGAGAGAGAGAGAAATTCAAAAAATAATAAGAAAAATTGCACAAGAGGAAAGAAACAAAGGAAACGAAGTCAAAATAGGAGCAAGGAAAATGATGATAAATGGTGTTGAATGGAAGTGGAATAGCAAGGAAGATAAAATGGAAATAACAAACTCAAAAAACTAGAAAACGGCTATGATAGTAAAAATACGAAGACGAACAACGCAAGGAACAAGGACATGAATACCGGTAACAGTGTCATAGGAAAGGGTGATTTAAAGATAAAAAATACAAAAAAAGACAACAGAAACACATATCCAAAAGATCACTTAATGGTAGGAACGTGGAACGTAAGGGGTACTTTTGAGGAAGGAAAACTGAAACACTTAACTAAAGAAATTGAAAAGCTTAAATTTGACGTAGTGGCACTACAAGAAACAAAGCAACTGGGTCAGGAAATGCTGGAAATTGAAAATAGCTTATTTTTTAATAGTGGAGGCAGAAACAGAATATTAGGCACAGGATTTTTGGTAAATAAAGCGTTAAAAGCATCAATTGTAGAGTTTAAACCAATATCTGATCGTCTATGTTGTCTAAGAATAAGAGGAAAATATCAAAAAATCACATTCATTAACATTCACTCACCGTCAGAAAAAAAAGATATTCAAGTAAAAGAGGATTTCTACTGTGAAGTTAATAGGGTATTTGAAAGTATTCCAAGATATGACATTAAAGTAGTACTGGGGGACGCAAATGCAAAGATAGGAAAAGAAGAAATATATAGAACAACTATAGGAAAATTTAGCAAACACGAAGAAACTAATGAGAACGGGCAGTTTTTGATAGATTTTGCCAAAGAAAAAAATATGCTAATAATGAGTACATATTTCGAGAGAAAAAGCATCTACAAAGCAACATGGCGATCCCCAGATGGAAAAACATTAAATCAAATTGACCATGTACTAATAGAGAGAGAAGACCGAAAATGTATAAAGAACGTGCGAACATACAGAGGGCCAGACGCTGACTCGGATCACTTCATGTTAGGAATTAAAATGGCTCAACTGATACCGGAAGAAAAAAATCGCAAAAGAAAAAATAAGAACACAAATAAACCAGTGCGGCTTGTAACGCAAGAAGAACAAGAAATGTATAGAAAAGGTATCGATAGAAAATTAAATGAAATACACCTAGAAGGGCACATAGACAAGGACTGGGACAAAATTCAGCAGATTATCAGTAACACAGCTAAAGAATGCAATAAATATATAACTAAAAAGAAAAAGGATTGGTTTGACGAAGAATGCCAGAAGGAAATTGAAGAAAGAAGTAAACTAAGGATGGATATGATCAAAAGTGATACGGAAGAAACAAGAAACAGATATGAAAAACAAAGAAAAATCGTAAAAAAAGTTTTGAGAATGAAAAAG